CTAATTCCCACTGCAGATTCATATTTGTAATATTTCTCTTAATGCATTCGTTTCCCGAACAGATGGACTAGTACTATTAACAATATCAAGCCACAATTAAAAAAAAATCAAATTATCAGACACAGCCATATTAAGGGTATCACACGCCTTGTCACTCAGGGTGCTCGTATTCATTTTTATTCATTTACAACCACCTAACAGGCTGTCACTATTTTTCCTTCATTAATCCACCTCCCTGTCTGAAGCACCCTTCATCTCTGCGGCCCTCAATGAATGTCATATATTTATCAGACATGACAAGACTCGGACGGTACAAGAACTAAATTGAATCATTATATGTCGAGGAGTGGCGATAGTGACATGCCACACCAGTAATATGATCTACAATAGGTAATGAAATTGACAAATCAATAGAAAGATACACCTTAATTTCATTAAAGTGGCTAAGGTGACGGTGATGAATGGACAGAGGCACTTCAGGTGGAGCATTTCGGAAACTTCAGCTTCTCCGCCCTTCGACTTCGCGGCATAGGGGGAGATGGGGGCGGGGGAGGTGCCACATAAATCATCCCATGCTGAAATCAAAACAGTGTCTATTTTTTGAGGAAATAGTTTGTTTGCAAAGAACTGATAGCTTCGAATGTACCTTTTAAATAATCGATTGTTCAACTTAAGTATAAAGTGATTATACAATTGTATTATGGGGTATGTAGGTTTAAACATTAAATAAGTTTTTTCATTATTTTTGTTAATTTTTTTTTATTTTGTCAGCTTTTTATCGAGTTAAGAGAAAGTTTACAGACGATTTACATGAGAATTTTGTCAGTGCCTGTGAACTGGTATGCATGTTGTTGTATAACTATTCAATGAGATCACAGACACACGGACCCATATAAAAGAATGCTTTGTGCACCACGGTTATACCTAACACTGTACGTACTGCCTGGTTTCTCACATTAATAATGTTTCGACACAGTGGAAGAATGCATAAAACAAGCTAGACTTATGGTAGAGCTGAATGTACACAATACCATTATGTAAAGCCCTTTGTATATGTACAGAATTCGTAGGTTTTCACCTTTTGTACTGTATGGGGATGCCTTTTCTCCACAGATAAAAGATTAATTATATAAAAATGAGGATTGGATAAATATTTCAATCTCTTGCAAAATTAACATTATATTAAATGTTTAACATTGTTTAAATTTGTCTAATAAATTAGTTCGGCCACTTGATTTTATGCGCTTTATATATATATATATATATATATATATATATATATATATATATATATATATATATATATATATATATATATATATATATGCTTTAGTTGCAAATTGAAGAATTGTCTCTTTTATTTAACAATACCAATGCAGTTTGATTAATTTGGATATTTGTGGAGCACTTTTGGTTGATTTTTGCTGTGTATTATACTGCAAGGGGCATTTCTGTAGCGCGACTTTTTCACCTCCAAACTGCAGTTCAGTCCCTTGTCAGCTGTTCAGCAACAATCCATTGGCAATTTAAAGAATATTATCTCCCAGGAGTATGTTAACGAGTACTAGATAACTAATTGAAATACAATGGAACTCTCATTGTCAAAGATACACTTTTCCTTATCAGTAGCAGTTGTGGAATGCAGTTTTACAGAAAAGAAAGGGCGTAAAGAGATGTGTCATACTGGCATGATTGGCCACCAAAGGTGAATTTGTGATTATCTGTTAGATCCAGGTTGATTAAATATTGTGCGCGTTATTTTCAAAATGGAGGGGGATCACTGTGTTATCTCTTTGGCATGTGCTGTCACCAACACGAGTTTTGTCTCCATCTTGTGGGAGCTTGGTGGTCTCAATGCGAGCAACGCGAAAGGAGGATTAGGACCTTATACTCATTTAAAGGTTATTAGAAGCAAATGATTATCTGTCAAATTTGAAATAAAAATAATTTGCAAGGGGAGAAATAATTAAAGCGACAAGTTAAATTTATTAAGTGTGTGTGTGTGTGTGTGTGTGTGTGTGTGTTTTCACCCATTCATTGGTGGTTATTGCTTTGATGAGCAATATATGTTATGAAATTCGCGAGAATGCCTTCAGAAAATATCATTATAATAATTTTCAGATTAACTGATTAGAACAGTGAGATATATCTGAAATACGTGGTGATTTTTGGTAAACAAAGACAATTAGAATTGTTCTATGAAAACCAATGTTTATTGAAGAAATAAACAAATTTCAAGACATAAATATTATAAAGCTTTTATAGACATCAAAAACAACGTAGACAAAACCATCTGTGAAAAGAGAAGACCTGTTTTGTAAGAGTACAGAATGTTAATTTATCTGCTAGTGAGCCACCGTTCTTCAGCAAAAAATCCACTGGCACTTACAGTACTTGATGAATAAGCTTAATCGCGTTAGCATTGTTGATGGCTTTAAGTACGCAAAAAAGCAACGCGATAATGTCATTAATTCGTGATGTTGATTGATATTGCAAATTAAGATTCCAAATAAAATTCTCTCTAGTTGCATAGATCCGTATCATAGGATTTGTATGCTAACCAGCATAAGAAATTTCTCACCATTGATTCGCTGTAGTGGAGTAATTAATAAAGCCACCATCAATTAACTGCGAAGAAAACTTCATTAATTAATTTAGGAGAAATTTGACTAGGGAGTTTTCAGTATTTCCCGCACTTTCCTGTTTTTCTTAGTTCAAAGTAATTAATCGCGGATCGTTCATCCACAATTGTCATAATACAGTGAAGATGTTTGACAGTTGCTAAATGAGTCGATGACCTTTGACATTTTTGTAACTTACTTAAAGTGAATTATTTCCGTTTTTTCAATACAGAAATAATTATCATTACTATTTTGCTGAAGTATTTTTCTAACGTCCAATAACATTTAATATCAAAAGGCTAATTGTGGACAATAAAAAAGTTTTTAATGTTTGGTAAATGTATAACACGTTTACATATTTTCTTTCTTTGTATTTTTCCATCTATAACAATATTATTAAGTCATAATTTGTCCATAAGTCATTGCATTACTTTGTTGTGTCACTACGACTGATCTAATTCTATATCTTGCTTTTCAAACTTGACATTTATCAGCGATGACAGCGCCCTCCTGCGGTGAATCAAAACAATTAATCAGGACATATTTCCATGTGATTACATCAAAATATGTCATTATGCAGCGCGATGTTATAAATTGATTTTAAATCATCAATTTTCATTTTTTTCGTTTGGTGTCCGCACCATCATTGCCTATAGTTTAAGGATATAAATTCGATTTGTATATCCTATCAGGATATTGAGCGCAGCTGTTGAAGGGGCGTGGAATCATTTAATTAATAAACCCGCTTTTCTTGGTTTGAAATGTATATAATACTCAAATAAATGGCGGATTTCGATTTTTGTAGCAGTGTTTGACGAGTTAGAAAACAAATAATCATTTACAGTTAGAAAGGCATAAGTTGTTTATATTTTAATATATTGGCTATGTAAGTGGTTTCTAATATAATTTATTATATCTCAATTTCTTTAAAACTCCTTCTTTATTATATAAATGACCAGACTGAAAATATTCATAATTTCACTAGCAGTTTAATATGAATTAACAGTATGAAGATTTTTTTTAATTATAATAGTTTCCGCTAACCAGAACCATGAACATGATGACGATTTCCTCCATTCTATATGGCAGGCTTATTTGATATATTGCAATATAAACAAACTCAGTTTCATAAGTTCACTGCAAAAATGAAAGTACATATAGCGCTTTTCTTTCTAAATAGCCATTTAGTTTCATAACACATTTCCCCATAGTGAGAGAGTGCACGTACCATGGCACTACTTTACACACGGTGACTTATGTACTGAAATACAGTAGACAAATGATAATGATATTTGAATGGCCTGTCATTCTGAGGGTCTTCACGCACCCGGTGCCCTATAATTCGCGTGTGTGACCTTTGATTTTTAAAACTTGAACGCGTCGTAAGTGATCTTCGTCGTAAATTTAGACAATTGTCATTCCTTTACTATTTTTATAAAACACGCCCTTTAAAATACACTATACCTTTCAGCGCAATTTATGAATAAAATTTCTTACGTGTATAAAAAGGTGATAAAAAATTCAAAATCACATGCATGTATATGCTGAAGCAAAACATCATTTTCATTTAGTTTGTTAGTTATATATGAGAGAGAGAGAGAGAGATTAAAACCAAAAGCCCGCCTTCTTTGCACAGCAACAATACAAACCTATCTATATTAGTTTACGCCGCAAACAACTTTGTCTAAAAAACCCCTCATACTTCAATCAAACGCCATGTAGGAAAACAAGGGATTTGAATCGAGTTGCGTCGCGCATTTGAGGGTATATCAAAGGGAAATCAAGAAGTCTTTGACCGGGTCCCAAGAATCCTACAGGACTGTCCCACACCTGTGCACACAGCCTTGTTGACATTTACACCTAAGTTGTGAAAATATTTCACCGAGGAGATTACAGGTGGGGGTCCCCTTGGACTAGCGACCCCAACCGCCAAAGGAAAATAATGACCCAAAACAAAGGCAAATGGTAGGTTTGACCATTAACTCAAAGCAAATTAGCAAACACTTGAAACCAGATTGGCTATTGTCCTTTTGGAATTCAGTTTAGCAAAAGGGGTGTTCGTACAAGCTACCAGAACTTGTGTTTAGAAAAGCATACATTGAGTAATCACACCGAATTTAATTGGGGCAATTTCAAATAGATGGGTGATAAGACCTCACTGTGTAATTTTGGCAATTTTGTTTTATTTTTCAAGTGCCTTTTCAATTAAATTCATTGACCGTGATATATGTTGCAGATAAGAGGACCTATTATTTTTCATCCCACATCTTCCACCTCCCTCAAAACACATACAAATAAATAATTTTCCCACTGAACTATAACGCAAACCCGCATCAAAATACAACATACAAAAGAACATCAATCCACTAAAAATGGAATCTCTCCCAAGAATTCACTTGGGCGGGCATCCAGCACTTTGATTATATTTTAACGAAGACATTAAGTCAAACATTTCTCCTCGTCCGGGTATTGGTTTTCCACGGCCATTAGAATCATTTGTTTAATGACACCTGTGGTGCATAATAAGTAGAACCCGATACCCAAGAAAGAGGGTGGAATTTGTATTGGAAGTCACCCGTGGACTCGTGCATATGCGATGAAGCTCGGGATGCTGCTGCCCCCTCGTGCGCAACTCAGCTGACCAATCTCTGCCGATCATTGCGTTGGCATTCACTAAATGAGGATGCACTGTATGTCGAGTGTTGCTAGAGAGTGAGCGAGCTGAGAACCTTTAATACTGTGTTTTGGTTGGGTTTCCATTTTGCTATTGATTGCAAGCTACGGGTCTGTCAGTTGTCCGCGTCGCAAAGATACATGGTGTCGACCGGCGTCTTAGTCGTGAGCAGTGCCCGCTCAAGTTGAGTTTTTTGCCGGTGCCCTCCCTAAGAAGTCTGCACAAGCAGTGGACACCGGATTGACAGACAACCTGGTTGGTTGGGGTTTTAACTAATAAGGATCTGTTTCATGGTTAAGTCCAACAAGTTTTATCTCGAGTGCCCGATTGAAGTGCGCTAACCCTACTTCTAGGGTGTTGAAATACATTGTGTATGTCAGTTTGAATGGCAAGTCAAACAAGCCAGGTTGTGAAGGGATAGAAATTAGGCAAAGTCGTGTATGCCTTCGGTCAGTTTTCAGATGTTCTTTTGTAAGTTCTACTTAAATCAGATCAACCATGGAGGGGAGACGCGCACCGTGACAACTCAGTAAGGGTAAATAATCATCTGAAAGGAAATCATTTATCCTGTTCAAACTTCACACCTCAGCCCATTTATCGGTCGCACAATGCGTAGCATAATTACCCCTCACTCCGGCTGAAGAAGGGCCATTCTCTCTGAGACCAGGTAAACCCCCACCGCCGAAGACCCGGTCGCGGAAATACCGATGCCTTATACTGTTGACTATGTTGTTCATGTTCCAGGCTGGACGATATGAAGGAGAAGAGTAAGAATGCGGCGAGAACGCGCAGGGAGAAGGAAAATGCAGAATTTTATGAGCTGGCGAAGTTGTTGCCGTTGCCATCGGCTATCACGAGCCAGCTTGATAAAGCCTCTATCATCCGATTGTCTACGAGCTACTTAAAGATGCGGACGGTGTTCCCCGAAGGTAAGTGAATCTGGCAGGGACAGGAGCCACAGTTTAACTCTTGTCCCAGTTTTAGTGGTTTGCACAATGAAGTATCAGTGCTGTACTTCTACGATATCTGCCCCGTCATCGTACCTGACGATCCGACAGCGACTCCATATTGGTTCATTTTATCATCCGGCTTGCTTGGAATAGTAAACTGAAAACTTATATGAGGCGCTTAGAAAAAACAAAGGTTGTAAGTATTTGTGTCGGACCTGCATGGTCTGGGTATGAATTGCTGTCTTGTTTATATATATGACACTACTGAGGGTGAAACAAGGCTATCAAGGTCATCAATTATATGTTAGGCCTTATTTTAAGACTACATTTATTGAGCGCCTCTTGAGAGGAAAACGAATGTCAGATTTGCATGTAGCAATAGCACATAATATTATTACGATACATATATTTAAGAGAGACAAAAATTAAGGGAGTTCAAAATGATCACTTAGTTTTGTATTTTAGCCTACTTCGTGGGTTAAGTTATTGTTTATTTAAATAGGACATCCGTATATTTGGGTTAATCATAACATAAAACCTTTACAGTAAATAAATAACTAATTAATCTAAAATTATTTTAATCTGCAATTCTGGATTAAATAGGACCCATTAAACTTGCTAAATCAAAGAGAGAGAGAGAGTGGGCATGAAAAGAGGGAAACTAATAAACAGAGCAATAGCGAGAGAGGTCAAGTTACCCTTTAAAATATTCACAAAAAGAGAGAGAGAGAAAGACATGGGTACTAAGAGAGATCAAATAACAGTTTACAAATTGTGTAGGGTAGCAATAATTTACCAACTTTCTATATGTTTAGGCACTGTGAAGAACTGGTGAACACACACTAAATATATTTAAATCTAAGAAAAGCAACATGCTCAGAATGACCTAAATTTGAAGCATAATTAACAGTTCAAAATTAGACGTATTTTTTCCTGTTTTTCGTGAAAATCGTTGAAAAAAACTACAAATTTAAACTGCTCTGTTGCAATGCACTCTGTTACCTCTCTAGTTACTTGGGTAATTTCCCTCGATTCTTTATCATGCGTGTCGCCGGCCCTCCCCAACATCACAGAGAAATATTTACAACACCAAATTAAAATCTAAATTACCATGCAAGGCATCTCGGTAACTCGGAGTTCATCAAGGACAGGACCGATTTAGAAATTTCTAGGGGAGTGTACTTGTACATTGCTCCACTAACTCAAATTATGAAAAAAATCTTGTAAGCAGAAAATCTCAGTTATTTTGTAACTTACATAATATATTTTATTTAATCTTTTATTTTTTTTGAAAAATTCCATTCGATGTTACTGTGTGTTTATTCCACTCAAATTAATTGCTCCCATGTAAATACCACCATCTAAAGTCACCAATGTAAATATCATCATTGCTTAATTTATCTTTGTACATTCCAACCTATTGCGTCACATCTATTACCTCACACGGGAGGCGTGAAAAATATTGTTGACTGATACTATTAATTTTACGTTGAGCCGAGGTAAGTTAATTTCATTTGACCCAATCGTCCTGGCTTAATCACGTTTGGTCTGGACACCTCTAGACAATACTTATTGTTGGATAAAGTGATTAGTAGTGATCAAGAGGAGAGATAAAGCGCCAGAATTCCAATAAATCGACGCTCTCGACGGAAGCGCTGTGGATTTACGATTTGGATGTAGAACATCAAACAAATGTATCGTTATATAACTCTTCGATACCATTAACTTGGTATAATTGTCGTTAACCTTACTAGTAGGTTGGTATTAAATATTTGTTTTTCTCTAACTTGACATGCAAGTTTAAATGTTAGACACTTTTGAATTGTGAATAATGTCCGTTTCTATAAAAGAAAACTAAGTAAACCCAACTGATAAAAAAATTTCTTTGCATGTAGAAATATATATTTATTGATACCTCTATAAAAAGTGAGTATATTTTATCTGAAAAAAATTAAGGCTGCAAAGGTATTTAAGAATCTGTTTCTTCTTAAAATGAAATTTTAAATCTCAGTCATGGGATACTAATTTAAAAATAATTTGAATGAATAATTTCTATATTAAACAGCTGAGTTAAAAAACATGATATTCATGTTTAAACTAGAATATGGGTTTGTGATATAAGGAAACCGACCCACATTTTTATACGATTTTTTTCAACTAATGTAAGGAACAAAATACTTCGATTAACTATATATTTTACGTGACAAATGTATATACGATTATTTTTTTAATTTTAAAAAAATTACAGTCTATTTTGTTATACAATATATTTTTTGTCCTCGTTTTTCACGGTTGTACGATTGGATTCCATTTAATATTTTAAAGTTAAGTTTAATATAAATTGTCATCGAGATATATTAAAAATCCATATAAACATTACTATTTCCATAAGGGAGATCTCGATTAATGCATGTTTTGTGGAGTTTTAAATTGCACATAATAGAAAACTAGGGCATTGTTTTTGCGGTAAACAAATTGTTTTATACCCAATGTCCCGAATGTTTTTAAGGCTCTCAAATGATCCGAGTACGTATTTAATTTCCTAACTTGACAGCTTTGTTGCTTTAGAAGAATACGGGTCGCATGACCAGGGAAAATTTTCTCAGTCTTTCGTTTGATGTAACAGAAATAGGGAAATTATTCTCTGGTATTATTAAGGTTTTTCTTTTGACTGGGTGAAACATAATGTGTCTATTGCAGGGAAGGGTAAGTCTGTCATGCTCTTTAATGGGAGAGTTGAAATGAAAAAAATATTTTTATAATTAGGAAGGATATAAATGTTAAAAATTAAATAGCCCGAAAGTGAAATCTAAAATATATCTTCGCTGAAAGTTATGTGTTTTTTTTCTTGCGCAGTAGGATTATTTGAAATAGACCTAGCTCTCGGAATCATGGTTCACCAAAAATAAAATAACAGTAAAAAACTGATCTGTTTTATTTTTGCCACTTGAAATAAAAAGACCAGCAGCCGTGATTCCTAAATTGGTAACGTTCTTTGAATAGATGATACTATTAAGATGGGATTTTGCAATTAATGTTCGATCGAATATTGTCTAAAACCATTTCGCGCTAGTTCATGGGATTAAGGCGGGTATTCAGCTCACCCTGTGGGCTTCATACAACTTGTCCGTCTGAAGTTTCCCTCGATCAATTTTGTCTTTCAGTGTAGATTTGTGCAAATAGTTTAAGACTACATAACCCTCGATTCAAGCACAGTAGCTAGGTGTATTAATCCCGTCAACGATATAACTACCGGAAAGTAGTGAAAAGATGTCTGGGTTTTATTCTGTACATAGACACAGTCAAACAGAGGTGGCTATATTAGTCTCATGAGCAAATGTGGCCAGACCCAAGTTTATTTGACCGAGTAATGTGCCCGCCTTGTCAACGCTTATTACGTGTTTATTGCCAGACCTCCACTTCAGCCTAGAATATTCGATCACAGCAAACCGATTAATTTCAGCGCATTATTTGTAGCCAAATAAACGGCCTAAGTATATACTAGAAGAAACATGGTTGCATCCGCCATATTACTCTTGATAACTAAATAAAATCTGATCAATATCACGACCACTGGTCCATGTTAACCAAGCTTTAGACTGACCACTGTGAAACTGACCTAGTCACAGGCGTATTATGGCCCGGAGTGAAAGAAAGTGGTTTGAAGATTATTACGTATTATAGATTAAATCAAAATTATTATAGATTAAATCAAAATTTATTCTTAGGGGAATTTTGGTACACTTGGAAAATTTGTCGAACATAAATAGCAAATTGTGACAATTAACAGTGACCGAAGGTCAACTGTACAGGTGGTATGAAGCTTTTATATAGGACGGGATTATCCCTAGTCTTTGCTTAGACTGGTCCTTATTTTCAGAAGGGGGATATCAGACAAGAATGACAAACTTGGTAAGAAGCCATGGTATGCCCTAATTCTTCTAAAAAATACAAAGTTATTCTCAATAACATTTATGTCCAGGAATATGTCCTTTTTAAAGAATTTTTAAAGAATTTAACATTTTGCCAATGATTCAAGGTTCGGTATGCCACGGGATTGGAAATGTTGTAACAGGCTAATTTGTGTTGGAAATCCGACCAATATTTAAGTCTGTGAAAGAGACTCCTGAGAATAGAGCTGGCAGCACCAGAGTTACTTAATAAGGCTTTTCAACAGAGGTGGCCGACCAAACCCAGGTGTGTTGTCCGCATAGGGGTGGTCAATGAAGTGACCATTGTGCCCGGCTACAAAACCACCCCAGTGAGCGCATTCAAGTGACCAAACTAGTGTCGTTTATCCCCCTCAATAGCAGCTCCAGTCACTTTATAAATTATTCATCTTGTGATTTATTTGTCCAGTTACGCAAAACTCAGATTCAAAGCTGTGGTGGACTTTGTGAAGGTGTGTATGGTAGAATATGTGGTCGGTACTGTATGTATGTGGGTCTGTGTGTAAGAACACAAGTACCCCCATGCGCCGACAACTTCTCTTGTGAAAATTTCTTAATTCTGAGAACTAATAAAATTGAATCGTAACCCAATATTGCGACGAACATATTGGAAATATATATATAGGAATTTTTATCTCTAATACTGCACAAGAAAGTATTGGAATTAATGTTGTGTTAGACAATAGGAAGAGTATAATTTTGGACAAATAAAACTTTTTAGTAGATAAGGTTCAAATGAAAATTATCTCACAAATAAGTAAGTTTTAATGAAAATATTTCACTTTGAATTTTTTTATTGCTGATTAGGACGTGTTTATTGGTCACCTGGAACTTACTGGCAAAAAAAGCTGAAATCCCTGGTGTATACTTTCAGGACTCATATCTCTTGCATTCAGATAATTATAATTGGACAGTAACACTCAATATCATATAACTGTTTTTCTTAAAATAGATCTAAAAAGCATCCAGGATAAAAATAATGAAGTATGCCAGATGATTAAAAACTGCCCAGAGAATTTTTTCCTGTTA